CACACGTGGGCCAGTCCCCACGTGTGCACAAAAATAAAAAAAGTTGAAAAAAATCTCGGGGGGATGTTTAAATCCCCCCGAAAGTGCAAGAGGGTCTCCTGCGCGTGTGCAGGAGACGCTCTGCGACCTACCGGGCTTGCGTGCGGGGGAAGGGAGCGAACGGGGAAAGAGAGAGACTGGCCCCCGCGAGTATCGCGGGTCCCCCCTTGTCTAAACTAATATGAAGTATCTCAGCAACAATCAAGTCCACACAGAAAGAATATATCATGGTCAAAAATCTTTAAAGCAGCATTGTTGCACAAGCTAAGCATTTCAGATTGGAGAAGAGCCTATGATACGCTATAATCTCAACAACACAAGAATGACAAGGGATGCTTGCTGCCTATGACAGTGTTTTAAGCAATGCAGACACCTTGGGAACAGCTCAGAAACAGTCACTCAAAGCACAAAGGTCTCATTGATTCAAACAACATTCAATAAGACTAATCAGCACCACCGTCTGTACCCATCAGTTTCTTTTCCAACATGGGTACCTGGTAAACAAAGCAGATGGTTGGGGCCTGGCACCCATACAGGAACTTGACATCGATGACCTGCAGCTCTTCCAGCCGGATGTTAAATGCCTTTAATTCCTTATTTTCCCGCTCCAGAGGGATAACCTTGAAAAGGCCATCATAAAGTCGCAATCCAATCATCCTGCATTCCGGGTCAATTATGCCAATTATACCTGTTTCTGATGGGCGACCAATACGATCCTACAAATAGCAGAAAAAAAATGCTCTCAGGAAGAACCAGTATAATAGTAGCTGTTGTCCAAAAACTATTACATTTTTTTTAAAACTGCAAAGGAATTTACTCTCCTCTTCTGCCCACTTTTGAGGGCAAACAGAAACTGCTCAAATTAATCACTATTAAACAAACGCTATTAAAAGGGCTTTGATTATACAAGGTACAGCACACGATTGCTTTGATAAGACACAGACTCAGCATCTCAAATCAGCAGGGGCACCATTTATAAAGGATGCTTTCCACATATAAGAAGTTGCCTTCCTCTGTGTTTTCAGGCCATAGGCAATTATGCCTTAGAAACCCCAGTATTTTTAGTGGGCTCATGAGCTGTGCTTGCTGAATGGGTATTATTATAAACTAAGCATATACATGGGTAGTATACAAACCAAGGACTTAAAAAGGGGGGGAAGAGCTGGTGCTTGGTCTTCCTGTGTTGATAGTGTTAACTGTACTACACAAAGCATTCTTTTAAGACAGAAAATGTTTCCCAAGTACATTTCTTTTCACTTTCTACAAGCAGGCCTTCAGGCCTCACTCAACCCCCCTCGCCTGCATACATACACATCCCAAAAACAAACACCAGCTTGCTGCTTCCCATACGACAGCAATCAGTTATACAGTTCAGCTTCATACCAGTCATTTGAATTGGACCGCGAATGCATGTTCATCCTTAAACAGCACATGCAATCCACCTTCAGCGGGGCATAAAAGGTCACAAGGGGCACAAACCCTCATGAACAGGATACAATGTGGTGATCTGCACAATCAGAACCACGAAGCCACTCATCAGTCACAAAAAGGAAAACATCTGTTATGCAAATATGTGGTTCACAGGGCACCTCATCCTACATGCTGTCTCTTAGGCAAAACTCTCTCACAGGACTGTGAGAATGAAGAAGGAGGGAGCAGCACCATGGATGGCAATCTGAGCACCTCAGACAAAGGGCAACACATAAATCAAATAAATAAGCAATGCACACGTATCTGGAGACAAAGGCTCAAACTCAGGCAAAAAAATCCTTAAAAGGTTTACATGCAGAAAACACCCAGCCACCTTAGCTAACCAAGGTAAAGGTAAAGGTTTCCCTTGCTCGAAAGCGGTGCTCATCTCTGTTTCCAAGCTGAAGAGCCAGCGCTGTCCAAAGATGTTTCCATTGTCATGTGGCCAGCATGACTAGACGCTGAGGCGCAAGGAATGCTGTTACCTTCCCACCAAAGCGGTCCCTGTTTATCTACTTGCAGTTTCTTGCTTTTGAACTGCTAGGTTGGTAGGAGCTGGAACCAGAGACGGGAGCTCACTCCGTCATGCAGCACTCGGGTCTCGAACTGCCGAACTACTGACCTTCCAGCCTGCAGTTCAGCGTCTTAACCATTTGAGCCACTGCAGCCCCCTAGCTAACCAAGCATAGTCATAAAACATAGTAGATGTAAACATTGTTACTAGAGCCGTGCTGTTTATTAATTTCAGTCTCTATCACTAGCTCTTTTAAACTTTGACAACAGAAAATCTATTCAGAATAGCACAAAAATAGGAAACAACATTGTTACTCTACAGCATGCTCTACCAAACTATCCAGTTCCCCCCTTTCTTACCTGCACATTCCCATGGGCTCGGGTAATGATATCAATGCTCTCCCCACTTTGTTTGTACTCAAGAATGCAAGCATTATACTTTGCCGTCAGAATGAAGAGCAAATCCTTGCTTTCCCCCTTAAAAAGAGAATGAAAAAAAGGATTCATTTAACATTTCATGCAGAAGAAGCCCACTCAGCGGTCTCAGCTTCCCTTGCCTCAGACAGAACATAGCTAGCACAGAAGAACAGCATAGTGGTTAGAGTGCCAGACCAGGATCTCAGAGACCCAGGTTGAAATTAGGCTTACCAAATCCCGGCGGGGGAATTGTATTTCCTGGCAGGAGCCTCGCCGCAGGGGACGGCTGCACGCGCTGCACCCGTGAAACCCCCATTCTACTTACAATGCAGCAAGGCAAAAGGACTCATATCACATACTACAGGAGACCAGTAAACACACATATGGGCTGGGGGTGGGGGACCTTCCTGATCCTCAAACACAGGAGCAACCCACCCACTGAATCGCCCCTCAGGAAAACATGTAGAAGAAGAAGAAGAGAAGAGATTGGACTTATACCCTCTGGCCCTTCACTACCCAAAGGTGTCTCCGAGTGGCTTACAGTCTCCTTTCCCTCCCCCTCCCCACAACAGACACCCTGTGAGCAGTGTTCCCTCTAAGCTGAGTTAGTGTGAGCCAGCTCACCGTTTTTTAGCCTCCGGCTCACACATTTGTGTCTTAATCCAGGAAGGGATGGCTCCAGAGCAAACTACCTAGTTTATGCAGTAGCCAAATGGCTCGCTCACGACTTTAATGCCAGTTGCTCACAAAGGAGAATTTTTGCTCACAAGACTCCACAGCTTAGAGGGAGCATTGCCTGTGAAGTAGGCGGGGCTGAGAGAGCTCTTTTTGAGGACTGCCGCTGAGAGAACAGCTCTGACAGGACTAGGGCTTGTCCAAGGTCACCCAGCAGGTGCAAGTGGAGGAGTGGGGAATCAAACCCGGTCCCCCCAGATTACAGTCAACACTCCTAACCACTACACCAAACTGGAGGAGGAGGAGGAGGAGGAGGAGACTGGATTTATATTCCCATGGCCCTTCACTACCTGAAGGTGTCTCAGAGGGGCTCACAAACTCCTTTCCCTTCCCCTCCCCACAACAGAATCCCTGGGAGGTAGGTGAGGGGCTGAGAGAGCTCTGACAGAAACGGCTCTTTTTCAAGGACCGCTCTGGTCAGGACTAGGGCTTGCCCAGGGTCCTCCAGCCAGGTGCGAGTGGAGGAGGAGTGGGGAATCGAACCCGGCTCCCCCAGATCAGAGTCCTGCGCAGCCAACCACCACGCCAAGCGCTGGGGCGCATCCGGGGG